ATCCATCCATCCATCCATCCATCCATCCATCCATCCATCCATCCATCCATCCATCCATCCATCCATCCATCCACTTTATACATACAAGCTTGATGAAGCCATCAAACAAGCTTGATGAAGCCATTGGTCTCTCGCACCTTCCTTCCCTCATTAACTGGAACCTTTCCCTCCTCCTGCTTGCTTGCAGTCTCCAGTGGAAGCAGTCATTCACAAGCGCCAGATTGATTGACTGCCCGGGGCTATTCCACAGCTGTAACCAATCAAGCAGGCTTATCTCTGATCTCTGAAAGAACGGATTTACACGTGCCCTGCCGCAACCAAGGAAGTAACAGGGAGAGGTGGCTTACAATTTGAGATTTGGCTGCAGGAGGTGGGGTGGGGGATGGGGTAGCGGTCTGCTCATTACCCGTAGGACTTTCACTTTTACCCCATTTGGGATAATTTACCCCTGTTCCCCGACCTATGCCTTAGAGCAGTCGTGTCCAACCTTGGCCCTCCACATGTTCTTAGACTACAGTTCCCAGAAGCCTTCACCAGCACCTCTGCTGGCCAGGATTTCTGGGAGTTGAAGTCCAAGAACATCTGGAGGGCCAAGGTTGGACACCACTGCCTTAGAGAGAGAACAAAGAAGTTGACAGCGAATGTCCAAGCCAGCGGAGCTTATTGGCAATGCCCTGAGGGCTCTTTTTATTGACTTAGCATTATTACATAGTATGTTATGAGAGAAACATATAGGATATTACCATGTTTCCCTGAAAATAAGACAGGGTCTTATATTTTTTGCTCCAAAAAAAAAAGCATTAGGGCTTATTTTCAGGGGATGTTTTATTTTTTCATATACAACCATCTATATTTATTCAAATATAGACATGTCATCATCTGGTTGTTGCACAATGGTGGAGGGCATGTTTTCACTTAACTTGGGCTTATTTTTGGGGTAGGGCTTATATTACAAGCATCCTGAAAAATCATACTATTTTCAGGCTAGGTCTTATTTTCAGGAAAACAGGGCAGTTACCTAATCATAACCAAGATTGGCTAAAATAACCCTTTGATCTTGTGCTCTACCTCTAAGCGAAAGGTCAGAAAAAGGGGTTGCCCCAGCTGCTGGCAACTGCCACATCCTGCCAGGAGTGTATGCATGTCACTGAAACAGAATGCAGCTACAACCTTTAGGCAGGAGTTTCCCACAGTCTTATTATCAGGATTTGGGGAACTTATTGAAAACATGGAGGCCTGGAATTTAAGGAAGGCAGGACTGGATTTTATGAGGAACATAGGAAGCTGCCTTTTACTAAGCCAGGACATTGGTCCATTGAGGCCAGTACCCCTGACAAGGACTGTAGGAGCTCTCCATGATTTTAGGCAGAAATCTTTCTAATTATACTTGGAATTATCGGGGATTGAAACTGGGATCTTTGGTGTGCAAAAGTATATGCATCACCTCTATGTTAAGGAGGAGCACAGAAGTTCCACATGAGTCACTATTTCACACCCTGGCATTGTCTACGCATCCTTCAGTCTCGAAAAACTATGGTAACATGTTCTGAATAGAGGTCTTGGAACAGTGTCTAGTGTAGCTGAGAAGGCCAATTCAAGAGTGACAATCCCTTCCACACTGAAGAGAAATTCAATCTGTCCCCTGTCCAGCTCCCTGATTTTGCTGGTGTCAGGACTGCCTCTTTGCCGCAGCCTGATGAACAAGTGCCTCTTCAAATTGGGAGAGACTGTGCTGTACCACCTGCCTCCAGACTGATTGCTCAGATGTCAAGATTTCCCATCTGTTGAGGTCCATTCCTAAGGCCTTCAGATCCCACTTGCAAATATCCTTGTATCACAGCTGCGGACTCCCTCTGATGCACTAATTCTCCATACAGGAGATCTTTTAGAATCCGACCATCAGCCATCCTCACGACATGCCCAAGCTAACATAGACATCACTGTTTCAATAATGTATACCTGCTAAAAATTCCAGCTCGTTCTAGGACTACTCTATTTGCAACTTTGTCCTGCCAGGTGATACTGAAAATGCATTGGAGACAATGCATATGGAATGTGTTCAACTTCCTCTCCTGCTGTGCACAAAGGATCCGAGACTCACTGCAGTACAGGAGTGCACTCAAGACACTCCTGGCATTACTGATTGGCTGTACCCTGGCATTACTGATTTGCTTTAACAGTAAAAATAACTAATAGCAGCAAGGGATTGCCTGCAACAAAATTTTGCAGCAAATCAGTGGCATTTATGGATTACCTGAGTCTGTGAGTGACACAAGAAGCTTGGAAACACAAAAGTCAGCATCAAAGACAGGAATCATCATTTTTGAGCAACCATGAGCACAGCCAGTATGCATGTAAATCAATGTAACCTGAGGGTTCTGTGTGTGACTGAATGCTCAATATGTTATTTTTTGCCACCTCAGATTGATGAGAGATTTGGGCTCAGGAATTGTGATCAGACTCAGCTCTCACCTCTGATCTACAGTGTTGATAATGGAATACATTGCAAGGCTGCTGTAAGGTCTGGTGGCTCTCATTCTGTTAGCCCTGCAACCCAACCATTAATCATGCTATCGCAGTGACTCACCCTGCAGGGTTGTTGTCTACCTATTGTTCTCAGCCTATGTAAGGATAAAAATATGGCATAGTTGTTGCACTCTCAACTCTAGCCCACTCTATCTGCAATGGAGGTCTAATACTACCGGACAATACTACAGTAATGCTACAAAACAGGTGTGGCTGTTTGTTGTAAGAATACAGGGGACAGCCATCTCACTGTCTGGAGAATGAGAGAGAACTACATTGTAGTTTCATCTAAAGCTACTCATTATTAGCTGCTGCCTCCTCCAACTTGCATGTAGGACAACAAACTCCATTTGCTTTACAAATAACATTGTTGTTTTTTAAAAGTTTCCCATTAAATAACATTGAACTTTGAGCAGGAACGTTTCTTTTCCGCTATCTCTTGATATATTGGGGAGAGTGGGAGACTAACTGGTGCTGAGTCGCACTTTTATATTAGCATCTCAGCTTTTTCCAGTGTTTTCTGTTAGTAGCTCTCACTTCTACCCTGGGGACATTTAAAAATAGTTTCTCAGTGCGAACCAGGAAATGATTTCTCCAGACAATGAAATCACGGAGTGAAGGTGGGGTGGGGGGCTCTGTTTGAATGTTCAGATTTCTCAAACAATGTGAGAAATGACAAGGAAGAAGCATTTTGTGTGCCATTGTGAAAGGCTTTTGGAGGGAGTGTTATTTAGGTACAATCCCGCATACAGTGAGCTGATCTTTTTCTGCATTTCAGAAGTTGGTCAGGGTGCTAACAGTACAGCTAGTTATGTGCACAAGAATCTTGTATCACTGGTTTATTCTTCTTTCTACTGACTAAATTGTTTGTTTATTTTACATTTATGTCCTACTTTTTCTCCAACAAGTGCAAGGACATGGCTGGTCTCCTCTCCAGTTTACCCTCACCAATAACTGTGAGATAGGTCAAGATGAGAAAGGGACAGGGCAAAGATCTTGTAGTGACTTTAATGGCCAAATGGGGATCTGAGCCCAAATCTAGTTTCATATTCTGCTTTTAGCAGAAGTAGCCATGTTAGTCTGTGGAAGTATATCACTTTTTCTCCAACAAGTGCAAGGACATGGTTGGCCTCCTCTCCAGTTTACCCTCACCAATAACCACTTCCTCAGCCATTTGAGTGAAACTGTATGGCTGTCAAAGTTGTAGGTGGCTCTATGACCAGATGGGTTTACAATCTAGTTTCATATTCTGCTTTTAGCAGAAGTAGCCATGTTAGTCTGTGGAAGTATATCAGACAAAACAACAACAACAACAACAACAACAACAACAACACAACAACAACAACAACAACAACAAAACAGAAACAAAAGATAGAGAGAGAGACAGAAGCACTGTGGCACCTTAAAGACACACTGCTTTACTGGATGTAAGTTTGAGTCAAGTCCACTTCCTCAGCCACTTGAGTGAAACTGTATGGCTGTCAAAGTTGTAGGTGGCTCTATGACCAGATGGGTTTACAGATAATGGGCATAGTGACAATGGCTCATTAGTAAACAATAGGGCTATCAGGCTATGAATAATTTCAGTTGTCATTCTGCAACATAACAATAGCAGTAATATTCTAACCATTATGCCATACCCCCTCTCTATATTCATTCTAAGCTTCTTGCTTGTGAAGTACAGTCTTGCTTCCTTCTGTCTTTCTTCACTAATTTCCCTGTATGGATCTTCTCACTTTTAGCATTCTCCTCAGTTTTGTATTTGTGGACTATCATGGAATCAATTGCAATGAAGAATGGCAACAAAGACATGTCCCTGTCACCAGTTATTTGCTATAGCCTTCCCAGGCAGATGGAATTGTCTGCCTCTTGATGCACATATTTTATCTGTTGCTTCAATCAAAGAGTTTTGGCTGTACTTCCCTCCATAAACCCTCAGGCCATAATCTTGTACATCAGATCCACTTATACAATGGTCCATTGCACAAGCGGGTTGATACTTTCTAAGCATATGGAAAGGGGTATTGAGCACTTTGTTGCACAGGTGTAAAGCTCATTCTTCCCAATGGGACAGTCACCACTTGCATGATTACAAGCTGGCCATCATACAGAAGGACATGAGCAGAGTGTAACAGGAGTCTGGCCTTGAGAACTGAGGGCTTATAATTGAGGGCTTAGAGATGAGGGTCAACAATATCTTATCACATAGAGACAGGTAAAAACATAAAGATGCACTGACTATAGGACAATGTTATAGTGAACCCATTGTTAGATGCTGAGCTTTTGGGAGAAATTAATTAATCTATCACAGCTAAAAGCCCCTCAGATCCTGCAAGTTGTTTTGCTTGGTGATTGATCATAGGGGCAAAAGGATGGGGCTCAAGTTTATTTTATGAACACATCATTTTTTAATAACTAACCAATAGGATTCTGGTCATAATGTTGAATACAACACATTCATGTTAAATACAATGTGCTCGGTATTCCTGAGCAAGTGCAGATGGGTGTGAAGATTTAGATCTATGTACCCCTTGTCAGTTTCTGTATCAAGATCTCTTTCATAAACTAAAAAGAAGAGACCTCAACAAGGCCCACAGACTTCTTTCCTTCTCCATTTCAAGCTGATTGTGAGGAGAGAGTAAATTCTGATAGTGAAATTGGTCGGTGGGATGTTTAAACATCTCTAGTGCATGCACAACAGACCTTGTCTGGAATGTGTGCTTACTCTAAAGTAAAGACAAATCAAATCAAAACAGCAGCCTTTATATTTGACATAAATGTATCAGTGCTTCCCAACGTTCTGTTCCCAGATGTTCTTGGGTCACAACTCCCAGAAATCCTTGCCATCGCAACTAGTAATGAAGGCTTCTTGGGACTGTTAGTCTAAGAACATCTGGGGAACCAAGGTTGTGAATCACTGATGTAGTACATGTAATATTGGTGGTAGGGTATGAAGCAAGTGTGGGGATATCTGGCCTTCTAAATAAAAAAATAGTTCAAATCCCAAAAGCCCCACTCAATATGGCCAATGGTAAGATACTATGGGAGCTGCAGTATGAAACCTCTGGAAAGACAAAGGTTTCTTAACCTCAGGATAAAGCATGAAGTGCTGTAATAGTTATTTGCTTTCATTAAACAGTGTAATGCTGCTAATCTGTTGGAACATAAATTATGAATTTATGAGCAGCCTTACAAACACAGGAAATGTTTTACATTCAAAAGGTTTGGTGTGGAGCCACCTGGATTAATAAAGCTGGAGAAAGAGATTGAACAAGAAGAAACACTTTCCACTCCTCTTCCATCCCCTTCACCCTCTCCATCAAAGTCGCCTGGCAAAAAAAGCACAGGAAAACTCCTGGATGATGCAGTAAGTGTGTCTTGTTATATCTCAAGGGGCCTCATTTTTTTTCCACCTCAGCATACTTGTCTTAAGGGATGTGGTGGCACTGTGGGTTAAACCGCAGAAGCCTCTGTGCTGCAAGATCAGAAGACCAGCCGTCGTAAGATCGGATCCACGTGACAGAGTGAGCTCCCATCACTTGTCCCAGCTCCTGCCAACCTAGCAGTTTGAAAGCATGCAAATGTGAGTAGATAAATAGGTAGCACCTCAGTGGGAAGGTAACGGCAGAAACTGTCTTTGGACAAAACGCTGGCTCTATGGCTTGGAAACGGGGATAAGCTACATGCCCTAGAGTTGGACACGACTAGACTAAATGTCAAGGGGAACCTTTACCTTTACCTTATACTTGCCTTAGTAGGTGCTGGTGAGCCTTCTGATTTTTCTTTTTTAAGTCATATATCATGCTGTAGCAATTAAGGATGGGGCCTCAGTGGGAAGGTAACGCCGGAAACTGTCTTTGGACAAAACACTGGCTCTATGGCTTGGAAACGGGGATGAGCTACATGCCTTAGAGTTGGACACGACTAGACTAAATGTCAAGGGGTAGCTTTCCTTTACCTTATACTTGTCTTAGTAGGTGTTGGTGAGCCTTCTGATTTTTCTTTTTAAAGTCATATATCATGCTGTAGCAGTTAAGGATGGGATATTCATTCACTCTCAGTTTGGAGCAATATCTTATCACATAGAGACAGGTAAAAACATAAAGATGCACTGACTATAGGACAATGATTGGGTCCCCAGATATTCTTCGACTAAAACTCACAGAAGCTTTCACTATAAGTTGTGCTGACCAGGATTTCTGGGAGTTATAGTCCAAGAACATCTGAGGATCCAAGGTTGGTAAACACTGCTGTAGGAGCTTAAGATTAGGCACAGAACTTTTCAGCCAATACAAATTATCTCTATCATCTGATCCCCGAGATGTACAAACAGAACAATCCACTGTTCTTCAAATGGGAAGGGGAAGGGATGTAGCAAAGGAAGAGCTGAATTACATCAGTGTTTTTCTAGCCCATGCCAAAATGTTGCTTAGAAAAAAAGTAAGCCTAATTTTTCATAACTAGTGTGGTGTAACAGGTAGAGGGTCAAACTCAAAGTGAATATGAGATGGAAAGACAATAACATCTGTGGCATCAACTATACTTCTCAGAAGGCAATTTGAAACGAATATAGCAAGAAGAGAAAAAGGGTGAATTTGTATGTATGTGTGTGTTTGTGTGCATGCGTGCGAAAGGGCTCCTTTTTTTTTGCAAAGTGGAGGAGCAACACTAAGAAGTAAGGTTATATTTTTATATGAGCAGAGAGATTAGGAGGATGAAAATGACAGAAGAGACAAGGCCACAAGGCTACAGAAAAAAGTAAGAGCAGGAACTTGAATCCGGGAGCAGATTGAAAGCCAGCTAAGGTTCTTGAAAAGGGTGTTGGTGATTGGAGAGTAAATCAGATTTATAGCATGAATATGACTGGCAAGAGCTTCAAGGCATCAGACAAAGTTTGTGTTATCAGGTGCTGTATACTCAAGAATGCAACCAGCACCCTGTTAATGAGCAACAATTTGCCGTCAAGACACACACAATTTCCTTTATACAAAATGAATAGGCAATAGGATTCTGGCTAATATGTTTATCCTGTTCTTTGCAGCACTTCTCCCCATATTTATTTATTTATTTATTTATTTATTTATTTATTTATTTATTTATTTATTTATTTATTTATTTATTTATCTATCTATCTATCTATCTATCTATCTATCTATCTATCTATCTATCTATCTATCTATCTATCTATCTATCTATCTATCTATCTATCTATCTTCTCAAAGGGCTTTCTCCAATATCGGAGGGGGCCCTTTGAGAGCTCAGAAGGGAATTGTCGGCAGGGGACGGTGGCTTTGGGGTCCTTCCGAGGCTGCAGCCCACTGCTGACATTTTCCCCCAGCTGAGCGGCGGGGCTTCAAAGCTCCCACCGCTCAGCTGGGGGAAAATGGTGCCTATGGGCGATCATAGGCAAGATCATAGTGCGATCGCAAAAGCGATGGCAAAAAAGCCATCGCTATGCGATTTCTTCGTTAAACGGGGCACTCGTTATACGAGGCACCACTGTACTCAGATGTGGTTTACCATTCCCTGCTTCTGGGGCTGCTGTCTGGGACTGTGCGGTTCGTTCAAAGCTACACAGGTTGGCTCTTCTCCTGGGAGGCTCAGTGGGGAATGCAACTCCCAACATCTGGTTCTGTAGCCAAATATCTAACTCACTGGGCTATACAACCAGGTTTTGGTAGGTAAGCATAGGCTTAATTTGCAAGCATTGATTGCAAGGACAAATGCAAATATGCATTTTCTGTTCTGCCTGATTTGACCTAAGAGTTTCACTATGCTATTGGCCTATACAGAAATATTACACCTAACCTGAATAAGGAGTGTTCTGGACAACTGTGGGTTAAACAGGAAAGTAAAATATGTCTTCTAAAAAAAGATTCTGTTGCTATGGCAACTTCTGTATCACATGATAGGATGTGCCACCTGGGAGTTACAAAGCACTCCTTGAAAGCCCCTGTAACACTTTTGAACTACAATGAACAGATGGAATTTGGTATATTTAACAGGGCTCATGAGGCATAATTTGTTGAAAAGCAACCTTAGCGAGGTTTCACCTTTTTTAAAATTTGTCCTATATCTTTAACTTTTCAAACTCTCTAGCTGCTACTGTCAGAAAAAGGTAGATACAAAGGTTATGCATTGTTGTAGTGAATAGACGACTTATGGGGATGAAGAGACAGTGAGAAAGGGAACACGAACAATGACCTCTTTTAATTTACAGAACAGCAGCTGAAGAACAAATATTAAAGCATCTAAGGCAGCCTCTGACTTCCACCGTCACCACTTTCCTGGTGACATTGATTGTAACTTTTACCGTTTTGACATAGTCTAGAAACAAATTTGCAGCAGAACTGAATCCTGATGCTCAAACCCGCCCCCTCTTCCCCATTTTTTAAAAAATATTGATGCTGACTTTAAGTGACAATGACAGCAACAGGACTTCATACCTTGTTTGCTTCACACTTATGAAATAGGTTTCTTCTGCTTTTGCAAGGTATGAGAAAAATATACAAGCTGAAAAGTTTCATTATTGCAAATATTAGGTCCAGGTTAGACATTTGACTTAGGTGGTGTAGCCTACTGTTAGGATTTATCTTGGCTGGCTTTGGATGTTATTCTCCTTGACTTGACTAGATGCTTGTGTATATTTGGGCACTTCCTATTCTTTCTCAGGCAACAAAATGCCTTGGGCTGGCACTGTCAAAAGGGCAATGTGGGTGTTTTTCACTCATCACAGCTGACTAACCAGACTTTAGATAGGACATCAAATTAATTAGCATTTAATTTGAATTTTTCCTAAAGGATAAGCAAAAATAATTAGGTAAAGGTTCCCCTTGACATTTAGTCCAGTTGTGTCCAACTCTAGGGCATGGTGCTCATCCCCATTTCCAAGCCATAGAGCCAGCATTTATTGGAAGAGTTTCCATGGTCACGTGGCCAGCGCGAGTAGACACGGAATACCGTCACCTTCCCACTGAAGTGGTACCTATTTATCTACTCACATTTTTACATGCTTTCGAACTGCTAGGTTGGCAGGAGCTGGGACAAGCGGCGGGAGCTCACTTATCGCGTGGATTCAGTCTCACGACTGCTGGTCTTCTGACCTTGCAGCACAGAGGCTTCTGTGGTTTAACCCACAGCACCATCACATCCCAAGAAAGATAATTAGGAGCACAATAAATGTATGTCCACCTAGGTTGCTTTGCTGTCTTCCAAAATGGAGTTTAAATTACAGTAGCCATGTCAGGCAAGCTCAGGATATCACACTTAAGATATACTGGTTAAGCCTCCTCTTTCTTCTTTTCATTATAGATCTTTCCTGACTTTTGATTTGCTGTTTGACTTTATAACAAAATACCAAAATATGTGTTTTTTTCATAGTCAGCTTGTACATTTGCACAGAGAAAGGGGATTTGCTCCTGTTAAAAGTAGATTTCTGCTCAAAAGCCCTTCCTCTCAATCTGATTCAACAAAGGGATTCTTATATATCTTGGGGGGGGGGCTGCAACCCCCACATCTTTCTAAGACCTGAATTCCAACTTTCATCAATAGATACTGTAAAAACATATTTATCTAACTGTCAATCTCCTGTTACAAGTAGTTGGTTGGTGAACTAGTTCTCATATTAGCCAAAGAGGATGAAAACTTTAAGAAGGTGTGTGTGTGTGTTTTGTTCTTTTTGCATTTTGCTTCACTTGACATCAACTAATTTCTAAACATCCTCCTAGGAAACTGCGATGTTTGGAAATTATTATATTCACGTACATTTCAGTGGTTTTTTTGTTTGTGTTCCTAAATTAAAAACATGCACATCTGGTTAGAGTTTGCTCAACCAGTTTTATTCTTTGACAGGCATGTAGTACTTTATTTCAGTTCATATGCACATTTTAAATTGACTAAATAATAATAATGCTCAGTTGTATTTTACACACATGTAGTGCCCTGAACAGTAGTTTTCAATCTTACCATGCATGGAATTACAAGCTGTTACTAGGGCAGGGCAAGTGGGGCTTTGATGCAGAATGCTGAAATTTAGAGGGCACAAAAATTTGCTGATGGAGAGATGCAAATTTACCTATTAAATTTTGTTGCTGAAGGATATGGACTTGTCTGCCACACAGATATACACTGCCTCCAGCTGCTCTTCTTTGGGAGTAAGGAACACAAAATAGGGATGCTTAACACGAAACCAATATGGCCATTGTGAGCTTGGCCAAGGAATTCCTCCCCACTCCTCCATCGTCTCTCCACAGATGCCAATCTTATGTGACCCAAGCTTAACCAATAGGGCAGCAAAGCCTAGGGCACCAAAATGGCTACTTACAGATCTGATGGAATGGTTAGGTCATACAATTTCTGTCAGTAGAACAAATACAACAGATATGGATCATTTAAAGAGTAGGTGAGGGTGCAGCTGGCTGATTTCACTCTGCAAGTTACACTCCTTTATTCTTACAAGATTCAAATCTGGAATGCTCAGAACTAATTTTCCATGATATCATGAGAATCAGTCCAATTTAAATATGAAGTTTGTCACAAAAAGAAACATTTCATTCCTATTCAGACATCCACAGAAATGTTGGTAGGAACATATTGTGAGTGGGAGGGGGGCAAACGCTCCCCCTCTGTTATTCTCATCTCCTCTGTACATGGGGCTTCCTCAGATAATTAGGAATCCTGATTTTCCAGGACTCCAAACTGTGTAGAGAACATTTAAGTGAAGAAGAGTAGCTCTGTTTCAGATTGTCTGTCTTCATGTTTGGAGAATGGCAGTGGACAAGGACGGATTTGCCCTTTCCTTTTTACACATGCAGATTAACCCAAGTTTCTTATCCTTCCTTTGACATATCTAGTTTCTTAGATAAACTGAGTTGCTCTCCTCACATGCAGTGTTAGTTGCAGTATCAGCACACTGAACTTCCTAGGATAGTTAGTGGAGTCATTCTTCACATGTAGTAACTTGGTTTAAACAGAAGCACTGTTCAAACTCGGCACATGCATTAAGGACAGGTATTTGCAGTAGAGACCAGAGGTCCCACTGCATAGAATGAGCTGGATAGGCCCCATATACAGGAGTGTAGCTTTACTACATTTTGAAATAATGCACACTGTCACCAGGAAAACAGTCTCTCCCTTCTTAAATCCATTACATCCAGATGTTACACATTTCAGCAGCTAAAATTGTTCTCTCTGTAAAAAACATTACCCTACATCATCTTGCTTGTTGCAACTACAGTAGAAACACTGAATGAATATCATTTACATAAGTGCTGACATCGTATCCATCAATGGATTCAATGGATCTACCCTACTTGGAAATAGCCCATTAAATCAAGAGTCCAGGGGTGAGAATTGCAAGTTAGTGTTTTCCCCATGACAGTCTTCACATTCAGATCATTTTAAACAATTGAGAAGCAGATATATGATGAAGTAGAGCTCATGGATTTTGTTCACTATAAGCACACCACAAAGGAACCTCGGACCATGAGAGATATCTGGGAGAATGACATAAGCAAATCTGAGATGTTAGGAGTAAAAATGGCATATAGGTCAAGGTTGAGAATTTGGACTGAAATCTCAGGAAAAGTTTGAGTTAGAACTTCAGAAAAGAAAGAATGAGGCTGTTGCATGCTGTGTTGTCTCAAGTTACAGATGAAGTGACAGAGGGACAGGAGGTATTTATGAGTTAGAGGAGAAATAGTGCTCAAATTAAAGAAGGTGGTGCAGACCTGACCTAGCTCCCTTATCAATCATGCAGCCCATTGAACTGGAAAGCCACAAGATCATTGTATTCACGAAGGCTTTCACAGCCAGGATCTAATGGTTGTTGTGGGTTTTTCAGGCTCTTAGGTCATGTTTTAAAGGTTGTTCTTCCTAACGTTTCACCAGTCTCTGTGACAGCACCCAGTTTCCAAAAACTGCACCACTTCTTTCCCATTTACACAGTTTTGATACCTAATAATTTCCCCATAATTCAAATTATGGGGAAAAGACAGTAAGGTCCTTAATGAACTCTACCTTCTCAATCTTTCCAAATATGATCTTATGGTTGTTGTGGGTTTTTCGGGCTCTTAGGCCGTGTTCTGAAGGTTGTTCTTCCTAATGTTTCGCCAGTCTCTGTGGCCGGCATCTTCAGAGGACAGCACTACAGCACTGTAGTGCTGTCCTCTGAAGACGCTGGCCACAGAGACTGGTGAAACATTAGGAAGAACAACCTTCAGAACACGGCCTAAGAGCCCGAAAAACCCACAACAACCATAAGATCATATTTGGAAAGATTGAGAAGGTAGAGTTCATTAAGGACCTTACTGTCTTTTCCCCATAATTTGAATTATGGGGAAATTATTAGGTATCAAAACTGTGTAAATGGGAAAGAAGTGGTGCAGTTTTTGGAAACTGGGTGCTGTAGAGCCATAGCTAGTAACATTGATACCCAGGGCTTTGTTGCCATTTTGGTAAAGCTTGGGTCATAAGAGACTGAAATATACAAAGAGAAGAGGAGGAACATCTGGGCCTCTGCATGAGACAGCTACATTGGTCTCATGCTGAGCATGCCTGTCTTGTGTTTCTTGGGAAGGAGTGTTGGAGGCGGTATACACTCGGGGCAGATAGTTTAATGCCCATCCTTTGGAGCCCTCTAAAATTTCAGCACCCTGGGTCAAAGTCACAATCACCCCCATCTTGTTTACAGCTGTGAGAAGCAGAACATACCAAATGAGGTTTCATTGTGTGTTCATACAAACATACATATGCATTAGATTATGTTTATAAGGAAGCACCATTTCAGAAAGATTGGGAAAACTGAGAAGTGGTTCGAATAACCGGAAAAGATTGGCTCTAACCTGTCATAATGACAGAGTAGTCTACTAAACACATTAAAATCATAACTTGTTTTCATGATTTAGGTCAAACATATTTCTGAAGATCCTCCTTGCAAATGCCCTAGCAAATTTTGTGTGGAGCGTCTTTCACAAGGAAGATACAGAGTTGGAGAGAAGATTCTTTTCATCAGGGTAAGAAAGATTCACTATTCTTTTTGCAGAGCATTTTAATCTGGTAAGCATTTTAACAGAAGTTATAAGGAATGGGTATTATCAGTCCAGAGACATGTCCCTATTATTTGCAAGAACAAATTTACTATCTCTCTGCTCAGATGCTGGCATGTTTCTGGCTGGAGTAGACAGTCTCTTCAGATTACATAGTTAATAATTGAAATGATTATTAAGGTGCTGTTGATATGTCTGCTCTGTGGTCATTTTGTCTTCAGACGAATGGTATTCTGATATAACATATGTGCCTTCGATTGCAAGAGATCTGAATGTCTTTTCTCCATACATCACTTCTGGAGACACCTCATATTTTTACCACTTTCTACAACAAACATTCTTTTCTCCTACCAAGTATATATCTCTTATATCCACAATTAGGCTAGTGGAAAAATCAAAAGTGTTAGCATTGTTTTGCTAATGGTTGCACAGGTGCTAGCTGATGAAGAAGGACTAACCCCACCAAAATTTAATTGAAATTAAATTCAAATGAGTTGTGTAATGCCTTGCACAAGTGGCATCAAAGTACTTGATACAAGCATGAAAATAGGGTTTCTGTAAGATGTAAGAAAACACACACCTTACACTGGAAAAATAACATTGTTCAATAAAAACCATTGAGTGATGCATAGAATGTGGTTGTGTGAGTGTCAAAGCCATCATTAGGATAGTTCCTGTGGTGTGAATTAGGGGTGTGAGGAATCCATTAACTCATTCTGTACCCAAATAGAATGATTGGGATTGATCTACTTTTTACCCTTTAGGAGACATTCTAATCTATTGCATCCCAGGTCCATAACATGATCTAGAAGAGCCTAATGGTGCAGTGGTTAAACTCCTGTACTCCAGCCAAAACTGTGCTCACAATCTGGGGTTCAATCCCAGGTAGCCAGCTCAAGGTTGACTTAACCTTCTATCCTTCCGAGGTCGGTAAAATGAGTACCCAGCTCGCTGGGGGGTGATGTGTAGCCTGCATAATTAACTTGTAAACTGCCCAGAGAGTGCTTGAAGTGCTATGGGGTGGTATATAAGCCACACACTTTGCTTTCTTTCTTTCTTTCTTTCTTTCTTTCTTTCTTTCTTTCTTTCTTTCTTTCTTTCTTTCTTTCTTTCTTTCTTTCTTTCTTTCTTTCTTTCTTTCTTTCTTTCTTTCTTTCTTTTTGCTTTTATTTGAGTCTCTTGTTAAAAACAAAACATATACAAACAACTAGGATCTGGGTGAGCTGCCATAGCACCCTAGCTTTGTGACCTATCCACTCAAAGCCCATACAACAATTATATTGCCATAGTCACACACATTCTCAATCCTTATAGCATAATAATTATATATGATTATGTAATATACCTCAATGGTTGGGAGTATCCACTGTAGCTCTTGGCCTTTATAGGGGATTTCAGGTGTCATTTGCCTTCTTCTTTGGCAAGAACAGCTCGGTCAACTGAAGAATCTATCATGGTGGTGTTCCATCCCCAGGAGGAACAGTGGCTCCTTGCTCCACTTCATAATCACCACAGAATCACACAGCATAACTTCCCATTCAAATGATATTTTCAGAAGTTTTTTTCCCATTTATGTACTTAGTATTGAGCACTATGCATGGAATCAAATCTCATTTACTCCACAGTTACTTCATTTCCAAGAATTATGTGCTATGAGGCAGTGGAAGACAGGAGGGCCTGGCGTGCTCTGGTCCATGGGGTCACGAAGAGTCGGACACGACATAACGACTAAACAACAACAACAACATAGGCTAGAGTGCAGAAGCAAACATGTTTCAACAACAACAACAACAACAACAACGTAGGCTAGAGTGCAGAAGCAAACATGTTGTTCCTGCCACAACAGCACCCTTAATTTTGTGAACATTTGATTACTGATTTTTAGCTATTTAGTTCTTGAGGTGTTATAACTGCCTGTTTGGCTTGCAAGATACAGTTAAAATAAGAACCAAACTGCAACCCCACTGCTGCAAAAGTAGCCTTTTCCATTACATCAGATTTCCACCAGATTGCATTTTGGAGATTAAAATGAAATGGATGGCAATACAGTTTTTTTAAAAAAGGAAGACAAAAAGAATTTGGGAAAAAATACCAAATTCATAATAGGCAGAATCCTGTTTGGCAATTTACATGCCCATAAGTTGAACTGCATCATTCACCATGGTGAAATGCCCCTAATAAGACATCGTTTGCTTTACTAGGCACATGACTGTTACACAATCAGTGGGTGCCTGATCATGTGAACAGTGCCTTGCCAATTAGCAGCAGTTTGCTTTGGTGACCCACCTGCATTTTAACCTACATATAGATAAATCACCAATAGGATTCTGGTCAACACATACTGTAACACTACATGATTTGGGATGTTATCCCAGAAACACTGAAAACCATGACTACTAGTTTTTTTAGGACAGAAGTTCTTTGCTCAGTTTTGGTTTGTTCTCTCCTACTGCTCCGCTCCCGACTTTCAGCACCAATCAGCCATTCCACTTTGTAATAGAGGACCCTTGACCTAAAGGGATGATTGAAGACAACTTCCAAGAGTATGTGATGATGGAGAAAGGGTAGAAAAGTACCATTTACATCCACTTTTAGACTTCAGGATCTATTCAAAATGTATGCACAGTGGTTTTCCTGCTATTAATGAAAAAGTTATTTTTGAACTGCAGCTCTCAGAAAACCTCAGGTTGCATGGCTACTGGTCATATTGGCTTGTGCTATTCTGAGAATTACAACCCCCAAAAGTTACTTTCTCTGTCTCTGGCTGTGGATACACAGGATTTCCCAGTTGCTAGTCTGGAGGGTTTAGGGACAGAGCCAACAGCAGCTTGCAATGACCTGGACATTTTAAGTTTTTATCAAGTAAATAGGTTGATGTTTATAGATAAACCTCTCCTGTAATATTAATTGTCTGGACTATCCATGTTAATTTGAAGTATGTTTTGTATTCTTCTATTAACCTATACTAAACCTAAACTAAAAGAGATATTGAGCGGCTAACTCACAGTATGAACTTTAGTGAGGAAAGGTAATGCAGTTGCCAAGGAAACAGAGCTTGGATATTTCTTTGGGGACTTGTATTATTCACAGGGGCTTGTCTCCCATTCTGTCTCTGCAGAATAGTTTGTAATGATATGCTGGAAAATGACAAAAATTCCGTAAGTAACAAAATAAGGGTATTGCAGAAATAACCAGGCACTGTAATGATTCCACTGCATAGACGAAATCTGAAAAAAAAGAACCCATAATAAAAATGTGACTTTTTAAAATTATTACTTATCTATATAGAGGCAACAATGAGCATAGGCCTTCATAAAGTGAGTGAAAACAGACAAGTGCAAAAGCATTGTTAGGAACTGATTCTATTAATCTCTTATAAACTCTGATTCTCTTGCACTTAAACCATTAAGAATATCCTCTAAGCTTTTTAGCTAGGATTTATAACTAAACAAAATGGTTAGTCAATATGGCAAGAAGACTGAAGAACTGAAGAAGCTGAGGTCTACCTGAAAGCAGATATGAATTAAATGACACAAATTTAAATGTGCCCATTCACTTCGCAATCCTCATTTATTTACCCTTTAAAAGAAACACACTATGAAGGATACTCTGAAAATTGTATCTTGCTTCTGACTAAGCCAGCCAGTGGCTGAAACTTTTTCTGAGATAAATGAGGCTTTTGCCTAATCCTAATTCTCCTACAGTTTACAGGTCTTTGATTTAGGACCACACCCTTACACTACACAGATTTTTGATAAGTCTGCATTGAAAAGTATGATAGGCTAAACCAAAGTAACGTTGCCACTGCCTACAACTTTGCCTTTCTGTGGTGGTCTTCAAATGTTCTGTTGTTGTTGTTGACCTGCAACTAATTCAAACCAGAGGGAGTTGAAAAATGATGTTCTGGGATACGTTGTCTAACTTATTCCCCCTTGTGTGCCATATAATATGTCAGCTTGGTAGATTCTGATATAGCTTTCAAAGACATTTCTAGATGTTTGTGCAGGTCAGTTCTCAGATGGTTTCTTCTTGTTCTACTGTAAACTACAAATTTATACCAGTACACAGCTGTCTTATAATAATAATATCGTTGTTTATTCTTTTAGAGAACTTTCTTGGTCAGCAAAGGGACACCCAGCATCCCATTTAAGTTTCAGATCAGCCACAGATCACAGGCCAGCCACTTAAAATTTTTGTTGCTATTTCCCTTTTTGATGTCAACTTTATTAGTTTATAATGAAACTTAATTTAGATAATTTTTGTCTTTTTAAGCGCAATATAGCTATTGTAGAAAAGTAGGGCTTACTACTGCAGGAACACTCCCTCCATTAGGAAAAAAAAAATCACAGAATCATAGAATAATTGAGTTGGAAGGAGCCTGTAAGGCCATTGGGACCAATCCCCTACTCAGTGCAGGAATCCAAATTAAAGTAGATCTGATGGATGGTTATCTAATTTTCTCTGGAATATGTTGGAGTGTTCACCATTTCTCAAGGTAATTGGTTCCATTGACCTACTGTTAGGATATTTTTCCTGCTTATCAACCAAAATTTGCTTTGCATAACTTGAGACCATGTACTCTGTGATGATTGAGAACAAATCCTGCCCCTCCCCTTTATGATAATCATTCAAGTAGTTGAGGAGTGCTATCATACCTACCCTCAGTCTTCTTTTCTCAAGGATAAACATGGCCAGTTATTTCAGTCTTTCCGCATAGGGTTCGGTTTTTAGTTCCCTCATCATCCCTGTTGCCCTGCTCTGAACTTGTTTCAGAACTGGGCCCAGTATTCACAATGAGGCTATGGAGAAGGGGTGTTTTTTGTTTTTTTAAGAATGGGCTACCAACCTATTAATCTTTGACAGTTTTATGTTGCTTTCTACATTCATTGTTCCCCATCTGCTGAAGTCTTGGATACTTGAGAAAAGGAAAAGAAATCAGGGCTCATGTTGTGAACGCAACAATGTTA